AGGAGATGCTAAAAACAAATGATTATTCAGCAACAATTCTCTAGGCCTTTTTTTATCCTTATATTACCAGGTATAGATAGATCCTGTTATGAATAATCAAGAGCGGTCTCTCCTTGTTTTGTTACTCTCTCCTCTTTGAGAGAGCTATTTCTGTTTACTGAGACTATAAAAGGACACTATACGCGAACCGTGTATTCTCAGTTGAATAAAGCTTTTTTAAAGCCTACACCTGCGTATTTTTGTCATTACAGATCTCATGCACACATAGTGAAGATAGAAATAACAATGTGATTCACTCGCATTGTTATTCGTGTCCTTATAAGCAAAAACCGCAAGACTGAAAATATCTTTTTTATTTACTAAAGTTCACCCAACACAAAGCCCAAGAACCACTCAAGGTAGAGGGTTGCTGAAGAAGCAATATTTATTTAATCAGTTTTTAAAAAATATAAGGCGCCGGTAAATTTACCGCACTCCCTCTGGAACTGCATTATTTTATTTTCAAATTAAAAAAAGCTGAACTTCAAATTAAAGAAGCTAAGATTCAGATTAAAAAAAAAACTTCAAAATAATTATAAAAAAAAACGCTGTATTTCAAATTAAAACTTTTAATATTACTTACAAACAAATAAACGAACGAACGAATAAACGAACGATTAGACGAACGAACGAATAAGCGAATGGCATGATAACAGATGGATAATTAGAATAAATAAACAAACGAACAAACGAATAATCGAACGAATAAACGAACAGCATGATCATCGACGGATAATTAGAATAAACGGACAACATAATCACAAACTGAGAATTAGAAATTAGCCAGTTCATAAATTTGAAACCAGAATGGCTTCACTAGCAGCAGTATTTATTTAGAGTACAGATTACGTTACCCGGAAGCAGCAATCGATGAAGTGAGGTCTGTAATTAACCCACTAATGCGCATGAAAACATCCAATCATGTACCGAAACATTTTGCCCAAAACTTCGCACAAAATCTCAAAAGGAGGATAATGAAGTGGTTGATTTCTCATTATCTATCTCCGGTTTTGTTCGTTCGTTCGGTTGTTTATAAACTAATTGTAGCGTTAAAATCTCTTTGAGTTACCTCCCTTCTATATTGTAACACTTCTACATTTGTAATTATAAAAGTTGCGTATATGGTGTCATATTGTAGCTCAGTAAAATTATGTGTTTTTAATTTGAATATCTATGTAGATATCTTTGAGGTGGGGTATTATTCGAACTGTTAAAGGAAAATAACTGAGACATCCGGAAAAGGCATAGCACGTGGAACCAGAAGAATCTACCCCGATGGACGAAATAAAGGATTCGGTTCGAAATTCCAAACACCTGAAGAAGACCGGTGCGTACAACGGCCGAAACGTTGTGAATATGGCAATGAAGATGAGGATAACAGTTTGAATTTGAAATTGATCTCTTTTTCAATTTGACAGTGAAAAGATGTAATATCACTAATACTAATAACAATTATACACGAAGGAGTGGGACAAAGTTACTAACTCAACAAACTTTCCAAATGAGCTAATATGATATTGTTATAGTGGAATAAAGTGTCTCTGCCGACACTTGAGTTTGAACATAGATCACCAATGAGCAAACACAGGCGATTCCATTATTGAATTAAGTAGACAAAGTGACCATAAAGGAAACGCATAAGTAGGAATTAGCTTGGCATCTAATTGATCACCATTTCTAGTCTATCCTCTTACTATACGGATCGTTATTTCTACTCTATCCTCTATTACTATACAGACGCCTATTCTTTTACTCTATTCACTATACTATTTCTCAATTAGGATCACTATTCGTTGCTTATTTTTCGAGCGAGTAATATCGAATAAGTAATATTAGTGCGAGTGTTATTCGAAGGCGTCTGACACAAGTATTGTTCGCCGGCGTTACTATAGTTGTATCTGCGATTACAAAGTTTCTACTACAACTAGCATTACGTTCACATTACAAAAGTCACAACGGATTTTCGTTGACATCACAAAAATATGTTTATTTATTCTATCTTATTTTTTTATTAGAATGTGGAGTGCTTCTTGATCGAACTCAGGAATTTTTCAGTACCAATTCGTACAACTGAAATTTAAGTATATTCATTGATGACTAACAAGAATTCATGACTCTATATATATATATATATATATATATATATATATATATATATATATATATATAAGGTGTGCTATATTTATGGGATAAAGATGCTAAATATCAGAGATAGAGCATGTGTAAATATAAAAGTGAACATTGAAGTCAACACTTAGAGGCGACAGGCTGTTTCATGCTAGACGCAATCGTCATGCCACGAGTGTTGTTTTTTTCTCGGCTATTTATATGTACGGATATATATATGAATATATAAATAGCCGTGAAAACAAAGAACACTCGTGGCCTGACGATTGAAACAGCATGAAACAGCCTGCCGCCTCTAAGCGTTGACTCCAATGTTCACTTTTATATATATATACTCGACTCTCCCGTCGAATTCGACGTATAAGGTTCAAGCAGATCAGTTCCCAGGAAACAGACAGCCCGACAACAGCACATGAGATTTGATTATAGTGGTGAATGTTTCGTGCAGGACCATCTACACTTTTTGAAGGGCCGAATACAGAGACCTGGTGCACTACGTGCCACAAGGTCCCCAAACGACCCTCCGCAGGTTTTGAATTCTGAGTTGTCCTTCTCCTAGACCAGTTGCCATCCAAGACTATAGAACCCAGTCTGTCCTGCTATTTACCCATAGCTGGAGGGAGAAGAAGAGGATTCACACCTTTCCCAACATAAGTGAATATAATGGATTCGAACTCGGCCTCCGATTCTTCAATCCAAGCCGCGATCAATTACTCCACCGTGCCTTTTATTTATTTATTTTATATATATATATATATATATATATATATATATATATATATATATATATATATATATATATATATATATATATATATATATATATATATATATATATATATATATATATATATATATATATATATATATAATATGCAGATGATAGGTTCTGATCTGGCATCTCGACTCCAGTCACTTTCTCACAGACTTGATGTGGTTTCCCTCTGTCTTTTCTACAAATATTTTCATGTTAACTGCTCTGACGAACTACATTCACTTGTACCCCATCTGCATAAATTTAAGCGTGCTACTAGGTTGGCATCTCGGTCCCACACTTTCACTGTTGAAACAGTTAAATGTAACCGCCTCTTCTACACCAACAGCTTCTTCTTTCGCACTTCCCGACAGTGGAACTCCCTTCCTCTTACTTGCTTCCCTGATAGCTATAACCTTCAAATATTCAAATGTAACAGCAATCAACATCTTCTGATGCCCTGATCCTTATCCCCGTACTTCTCATTATCCTTTCCTCAAACACCCCCTCTTTACTCTTGCTCTCACTCTTCATAACAAATTGCGGGCTAGTGGCACTCCCAGTTTGCTTGGGGTGAAATGCTTAAAAAAAAAAAAAGATAGAAGCAACCATGCATGCGTGCGATCATGCACATATATAAATTTGCAAATAAATAATTTATTTAATTTTTGGTTTTTAACAAAACAGTGCTTTAAAGTATATATTAATAAATATTAATAAATATACATGTTACCTTACGTCGAAAGTACGACTCGGAAATACCTGAAGATTGTACTGAACATGAAACTTGTGGCTTTATGCCATATTAATCTCTTATGCCGCTAGAGCGGGGTGGGGGTGCATTTTCACTAATTATTTTAAATGATGCTGCCGGGAGTAAGAAGTTTAGGGTAGATTGGCTCTTGCATGAAAAAGAGAAGTTTCGCTTTAGGATAGCCATAAAATTTCCCAATTTAATGAAGAAATAACTAAAAGTGTAACTATTGTCGAAAAAAGTTCTCTAATTTTCAACGGAGACGGTTCTAGCTCTATCTTCGAAAAATAGGAAAGACTCCTCGAATGCCGATTAGTAGAGTTGTGAAAAAGATGCTCTTCGCGATGAGACAGAACAGGTGATTGGTTAACAATAGTAGCCGCTTCATCTATCAAGAGGGACCTCTTTTAAGGCCAAAGCACAATCACATTCTAACCGGGAGGGGGGGGCGAGAATAAACAAGAAGATTAAGTCAAATCTCCCGAGCAACCAACAACAGGGCTTCCACCCCTTGTTCAATACTTCCTGGGTGCCCAGCAATTGTTGTCAGGCTGCCTTAAGCTTGTTCACCACCTATATGCATGCCCTCCCGGTCTCATATAACTTGGTGCTCTACAATTGTGGGCTTGTGCCACACTTAGTTCAGTTTCATACGTATCCATATATATGATGATTTTCTTAGATGTGGCACAATGTCGGAAGGATGGGGAAACCAGTGAGAACTGAACTCGCTACTGAATCAATAATCACCTCCTGCTATTAATTGTTCTAGCGAGACAAGCTTGTTAGCCATTACACCACGCTGGGGTAACCTAATAGTGATTTTCCAAGCATAGCTTAAATGTGACACAAGGCCGAATGTATGGGGCACCATGTGAGGTACCCTACATAACTATATTGTGATTTTCCAAGCGTAGCTTAGATGTGGCACAAGGCCGAATGTATGGGGCAACCTGTGAGGATCAAACTCACTACCCAGGCTTAATTGCGCTAGCGTGACAAGCTTGTTAGCCATCACGCCACATCGCGGTGCCCTACTTATCCATATATATGGATACATAGGAATTGAAATGAAAGGAACCAGTGCAAAGAGAGACAAAATCGATAAGAAAATCATAGGCAGATGAATTATTTATTCTTCTTGTACGACATTAACACGCACAGGCACACGCGCACACGTACATACATGCATACATAGATACATATATATGCACGTTTGTGTTCCAAAGCAATAATCAGCCGGGAATAGTTTTAGTATTCGGTAGATCAGAAATGTCGGCCACTTGGGAAATAAAAAGAGCGTTGGAACCTAATCAACCCGTGTAGATCTCTGCTTGCCTTCAGTGACATTCAAACTTTTTGTCAGCTCCCTTTTCTCTCTCTCTCTCTCTCTCTCTCCCTCTCTCTCTCTCTCTTTCTCTCTCTCTCTCTATTACTCTCTCTCCCTTTCTTACTCTCTCTCTCTCTCTATTTCTTACTCTCTCTCTCTTTATCTCTCCTTTCTCTTCACTCTTCTCTTTTTTATGTCTCTCTTACTCTCTCTCTTACTCTCTCTTTCTTACTCTCTCTCTCTTTATCTCTCCTTTCTCGTCTCTCTTCTCTCTTTTTCTCTATGTCTCTCTTACTCCCTCTCTCTCTCTCTATATATATATATCCTCTCTCTCTCTCCTCTCTTTTCTTTTCTCTTTTCATGTGTCTCTCTCACACTCTCTCTCACTTTCTCTATCTCTTTATCTCACTCTCTGCCTGCTCTCCCTTTCCCTGTCTCACTTTCTCTCTCTTTATCTCTCTCTCTCTCTACTCTCTCTTCTCTCTCTTTTTCTGTGTCTTTTTCTCACTTACTCTCTCTTTATATCTCTCTTCTCTCGCCTCTCTCTTTTTCTGTCTGTCTCTCACTCTCTCTGTCTCACTTACTCTCTCTCTCTCACTTAGTCTCTCTCTCTCTCTTTATCTCTCTTCTCCCTGTCTCTTTTTCTATGTCTCTCTCACATACTTACTCTCTCTCTCTCTCTCTCTCTCTCTCTCTTTACTCTATTTTATTCCCGGTTTGTCAACGAAATTTTAAACATATTTGCAGCACCGCACATTTCTCAGTTGTATTTTGTTAGCACCATTAACCACCATCATCATCATCATCATCATCATCATCATCATCATCATCATCATCAACATTATTATTATTATGATTATTATTATTATTATTATTATTATTATTTGATATTTTCATCGATGTTTCGACCGGCTGATGATAGTCAGATCCCAGCTTCTACCCGCAGCATTTGAACAGTGTGTCCAACATTTCTATTGGACAAAACAGGTAATCTTAATGTTGAACGGTATTTAGTAGTGTAAAAATTTCGATACAACTAAAAAAAACAATATGTACAAAGACAAAAGGAAACGTTATCTTAGCCGGCGAATTTCGTCCACGGAAGACAAAAGGAACCTTATACAGAACAATTTATCAAACGCATTAGTCATACTCAGAAATAAGTTCGATCTAAAAAAAATGCCATACTTATTAAAAGAGAAAATAACTTGCTTAAACGGAAAATTTTTGAATGTGCCACTATTGAATCTTACCAAAATATAAATCTACGCCCTAGGTTTTAAAAAATATATATAAATCCTTTCCTAAAAGAATTAACCCGTTCCCAGGACTACATGACAATAAAAAAAAATTTAAAAATGAAAGAAAATGGTTAAATTCAAAACAATCTATTATTTAAAATGCATAATGCATAGATTAATTTCAAAGTTAAATAATATAAATAATAATTAAATTATTTTATAAAAAACTTAAAAACGACAATAACAACATTCTTTCACTTTCGTTTATCAATTAGCATCTTCCATAATTTACATTGACTTCCAGTTGACTTGCAGTTAGCCTGAAGTATATTTCTGAGCGCTTGTTAAATTTAAAAATTCTGAAAAACTACAATTATTATTATTATTATTATTATTATTATTTCCTTTGATTTCTCGTGTATACACATTTCTTTCCGGGTCCCAACCAGAAGTCAGAAATGGCATCATGACATTTTCCTCTGACCAATTAAAAAAAACAACAACAACAGACATATCTTAAATAGACAAATCCCTTCGTAAGATGTGAGCTGTACTCGTGAGAATTTTTTTTTTTTTTATATATATTTCTTTAAGGCATGAGCTTCCAGCAATCCCTTGAATGAGTATACTGGAATCTTTTCCACCCAATCCGAGGGCTCCAACTACAACAGGGATTGTTGATGTTCTCATGTGCCACATTGTTATTATTATTATTATTATTATTATTATTATTATTATTTCTGTCTGAAATTCTGGGATGAGTAGCTATCATTATTTACATACGGACTATTATCCACATCTTCGTTGCTATTATCACAATAATTCGGTCGTTGTGTCCTTCACCCTTCGCTGAAATTCCTTTGAGGTTACCCGGATCGAAAAACACATAAAAAAGGCCCGAGAACACAGCAGCCGAAACCTTAACATAATATCAACAAAGATGTGGACATTACTCCGTATTTAAAAAATATAAATTATTATTATTATTTTTATTTTCTTTGATTTCTGGCGTTTGCACATTTCTTTCCGGATCCCGCCCAGGGACCTAAGGTTAGAAAATGGCAGCATGACACTTTCCACTGACAAAAAAATTATTATATTTCCTTTGGTTTCTGGTGTATACTCATTTCTTTCCGGGTCCAGACCAAAGAACTAAGATGAGAAATGAGATCATGGCATTTTTCACTGAGCAGTTTTAAAAAATATATATATTCCATAGATAAAGCCCTTCTTAAGGTGTTTGGCTGTACATGTGAGTACAATTTTTTTTTATTTCTTTAAGGCATGGGCTACCAGGTATTCCTTCAATGATTCTATTGGAATCTTTTCCAATCAATTCGAGGACTGAAGCTACCAATGGAATTGTTAATGTCCTCATGCACCACATTTTTGAGATTAAGATTTTAAGATCCTTGTATTTTGATAGTTTTTTTGAAGATCTTCAAAGATACATTAAAGTCTGCAGGGGGAGGGCATGTCAATAAGGAGGTACTTTTTAATCTTTGTGGTCTCTAATCACGATGTCAGGGTGATATTATTATTATTATTATTATTATTATTATTATTTCACTCGTGCTAATCTTCTACAGGCTTAACTAAAATCAAGAGAACACTAGTCTCCTGTATACATATATATATATATATGTGTGTGTGTGTGTGTGTGTGTGTGTGTGTGTGCGTGTGTGTGTTATTTTAATTTAAACTGACCTCGATTTTGCACAACAAGCTCATCTACTGGATTGATGTTAAATTTCCATTTTGTTTTTGTTTTTTGTAATGTAGTTGTGTCTTCCGTCATACAAGTACGATTTTGCTTTTATCAATTCTTCGTGTAATATTGGTGTCTTGAACTTGTTAGAATCACTATAACTGGAAAGAATGAACACATGACGCCAAATATGAGATCGTATGAAAGTAACGATGCATTTGATATATATATATATATATTTATTTATATATATATATATATATATATATATATATATATATATATATATATTATGAAATGGATTAAATCCGTCAAATATGTTCATATATTTTTGGTTTATGCGTTTTTTATTTTCTTTATGGATACATTTATTGCAGAAAATGCTCTGTTTTTAATTAAACAGAAAATGATTTTTCCAACATTCAGGCCGATAAAATACGTGCATCCATAAAAAAAAACGCATAACAATTTTACCCATAGCTGGGGGACAGAAGAGATGTTTTCATACTTTTACAAAGGGTATTAGCACGTAAGTGAATGCAATGAACTCGACTAGAATTCGAACTCAGCTCTGCGATTCCCCATTCCGAGCAACTAAATATTACTCAATCGTGCTAAAAACACACCCGGATTAATTGTCAGACAGCAGTACCATAGCTTAATATTCCATCCATGGCGTCGAGAGGACCCACCGAAATTTACTGAATTACAAATCCCATTCACAAAATGGCTATAGAGTAGCCCCGATATGATACATCCGCTGATAGGATAACATCCTTTGGAGTTTCTTTGAGGTGCTGATCTCTGACTGTCAGGCGAATAACTGGATTATACTTCATGGGAATGGAGCTGAGTGCGCGCCAAACTGCATAGAAAATGGGTAACCGGAAACCTTCTTTTCCATTCGTTATCGTTCAACGGCCATTGTTATGAATACCTTTCTTACTCCGTGTTTCTTTAATTTTTTCTTTATTTCTCCTGCAATGTCATTTCTGCCTCGTTTTTACCGTCAGCATGCCACACGACAAGCCAATCATAAGAATCCTATTTTTCCTGTTATATTTTAATTTGCTATCTGGGACTAATTTGATTCCCGCGCCCCAGTCTCGAATTTTCCATCGAACTAATCTCTTGAGAAATTCTCTTGGAATTTAATCTCTAATCGCTTACTTCCACCCTCCACCAAACTCTTTCTCCCTTTCCTTTTCTTTTAGTACCCCACTCACTCCTCTCTGTCTTTCTGTCTCTTTTTTATCCCTTTCTTTTTCACGCCTGGTCGTTATGCCTTTAATAATTCTTTCTCTTTATAAGAGAGAACGGTAACCTGTGATGTTACGGGCGGGGTTCAGTAAACAACTTCAAATCTTTCATACAAACAAGCGACATATAACGTGACATAGAAACTAACAAAGAGACTGACAAAGAAGAAAGCAAATTCTATAATTTTTATAGTACAATTACTCTATAAACAACTATCGTGAATATGAATTCAAAAAAACTTATCATTTACTATACATAATAGTCCATACTACTACCATAATATCATACAATATTAGAGACTATTACATTTTTCACTGGCTGACGCTGACTGACGTCTGTCAATAAAAACGGTCGGACTCCTAGTCATGTCGGAACATTTTTTTTTTTTTTTGCAATGTCGAGATGCGTAGCACGACGCTTTCAAGGAGGTGGTCTGACTCGTCCGGAGTCAGGTCGGGGTGGATGCTATTTCAGCCGATATGATGCAAAACCCCGAAATCGGTAATAAGGTCAGTGCATCAGTGTATAAAGTTCGATGGCTAAAATATCGTCTAAATTATACAAAAATAAAAATAATAGTCATTTCATTTTAATATATACAGGATGCGATGGATAAATTGTCGTCGAAATTACGCACAAAAAAATAAAATAAAATAACACTGGCATCTCAACAGATATATTTGCACACAAATATCTTGAAATACTAATGTGGAAATTTATTCAATATAATCGCCATTGGCCTCAACTACGGCTTCCAGACAACTTCGGAATCTCTTGTAACTCATTTGGACGGTCTGCTTGTTTAAGTTGGTGATTGCTGCCATAATCCTTGCCTTTAGTTCATCTTTGGTATTACAAGGAGTTTTGTTGGTCAATCGCTCAACTGCGCCCCACACATAATAATCAAGGGGGTTGCAATCTGTGAAGTTAGGTGGATAGTTGTAAGGGGTGATGTGGTTGCAGAAATTGTCTAACAGCCATGACTGGGTACTGCTGCTTGTGTGACATGGTAGAGAGTCCTGTTACTATACATAGGGTCTTCCAGCAGCCACTGTCTTGACCCAGGGCAGCAATACCACCTCAAGGCACTTTGATGTAGGCCTTCATATTGATGCATATAAAATGTATTATGCAACTGTAGAACATGAGCTGGGAAAAATATTAAGAGATCCAACATTACTTTGGACTACAAAGGATAGAATGTTGTGGAGAGTCATGATCGCCCACATCCTGTAGGGAAAATGCCCATAGAATAAAAATAAGGACACTATTAAAGATAAGATTGTTAAATAAAAGTTTAATAAAAGGCTTCATGCCAGATTGATTCATAGATTAATAAAAATACTAATTTACACACACTCGTATATATATATATATATATATATATATATATATCCAAGTATATAATTGGTATATACGGAATGAATTCCAATAACCAACAATTACTATTCTTAAAAGAGTGCTCAATACAAAGTAAAGCAGATATAATTATCATTTATAAAAAAATTATAACATAAGTATGTTATAAAATCATTTTTCAATACGAAGTAGAGCAGATATAATTATTCAAGCTTTTGAATCTTTCTATACTTAGTTTTTGATTGGTTATTCTAGCTTTTGTAACAATGTCCCCCCTAGTGTAGGATCGTTAATTAATCTGAAACTTTTAAAACCATTTATTTTATCTTCAACATCATCACTTGATAAGACACCGAGTGTGTTGAAACAAAATGGCTATTTTGTAGTGATTTTATAACATACTTATGTTATAATTTTTTTTATATTAATATATATATATATATATATATATATATATATATATATATATATATATAAGGTTCATGTGTACTTTAAAAAAAATAAGGTTCGTGTGTACTTTAAAAAATTTATAACTTTATGCAACACTAAAATAGTATTTAAAATACATTTTTATAGTAAAATTACGAGCAGTACATGTTTATAAAAACATTTGGAGTGTAATTACCAGCAATACATCTTTAAAGGAAATTACCAACAATACATTTTATCAACTACAAATTATATATCTAAAATACATACGTTTGCTCCGAAACTATAAAAGTATTTATAAAATATATGTATAAAGTTCGATGGCTAAAATATCGTCTAAATTATACAAAAATGAAAATAATAGTCATTTCATTTTAATATATACAGGATGCGATGGATAAATTGTCGTCGAAATTACGCACAAAAAAAAATAAAATAAAATAACACTGGTATCTCATTTTAACAGATATATTTGGACACAAATATCTTGAAATACTAAAGTGCAAATTTATTCAATATAATCGCCATTGGCTTCAACTACGGCTTCCAGACAACTTCGGAATCTCTTGTAACTCTTTTGGACGGTCAGCTTGTTTAAGTTGGTGATTGCTGCCATAATCCTTGCCTTTAGTTCATCTTTGGTATTACAAGGAGTTTTGTTGGTCAATCGCTCAACTGTGCCCCACACATAATAATCAAGGCGGGTGCACTCTGTGAAGTTAGGTGGATAAGTGTAAGGGGTGATGTGGTTGCAGAAATTGTCTAACAGCCATGACTGGGTTCTCCTGCTTGTGTGACATGGTAGAGAGTCCTGTTACTATACATAGGGTCTTCCAGCAGCCACTGTCTTGACCCAGGGCAGCACTACCTCTTCAAGGCACTTTGATGTAGGCCTTTATATTGAGTCTGAGGCCCTCACCAACAAATTCGGGAGTTCTTTTCTTATCAGAATGATCAGCGTTAGTTTTCCGAACTGCCGTACCTTCGAAATCACCATTAGACTCATTCAAATCTTTCGATATGCTCTTCACTGTCCACTGAGTGAGACCAAAACACTCTGAAATGTTTGTATTGGAGTTTCCGGTGCGAATGCCAAGCAATGCCGTTTCCAAATTTCTGGCGAAGTGAATTGCGTCATGGTGCTCTTTTTCTCACAAATGATACCCAACTGACCTACTGTACTGTGAAGTCGACAAAATCAAAAACAAACAACGCGCATGCGAGAAATTAAAAATATAAAATGGTGACAATTTATCCATTTCACTATGTAGCAGTAGATTGCGTCCAAAATAATTAGATTTCGGAATTAAATAACCCATAGAGGTGTTGATATTCTGCTAAACAAAATCAATGTTATCAAACTATCACAATATTATCACACCATATTGCAATAATATTAACTTATTCCATTCTATTACCATAATACCACCACATGTTACAATATTATTACCACATTACCATTGTAGGTATATTATTATTATCACAAATAAATAAAAAGTATAAAATAATAATATAATGAAAATTATAAATAAAATAAGATAAAACAATAACATTTACACTTTGTTTAAAATAAGTTAAATAAAATAAAAATACTCCCAGCATGCAACAAAACCTGTTCCTACCGGAAATAAGGACATTCCGCTAAAAGACGATAAATTCAATTTCTTCATCACAAACCTTGATACAGGCAACACATATTTAACTTCTCTCTGTCAGATGGTATGTAATAACACGGGGTGATATCTACTTTTTATCACATGTACCATAAAACAATTGTAACCTAAAAAATACACACACCAATACAAACAAAATATATAAATTGTATGAAATTATTATACCACGTTTTTCATGTTATTTGTGTATGTTTTATTTCCTGTCAAATATGCTTTTATCTCCGTGAACACAAGGCTAATTTCTGCTGCTATGATGTGAGTGTTTCCTCCACAACATTTGGCTGAGCGCCGATGTGCATAAGAAAATCATTCTGTTCACTCATACCATAATATTGCCATATTCTTCTCTCTTCTGTGTGCCGTGGGTCTTGGGGGCGTGGGAAATCATGGTTCTCCACAACTTCCTATCATTTGTAGCTCTTAGTAATGTTTGTTTTTCTTCCCCTTCTCTCCCAATCTCTGTCCAACACCCGTTTACCCAAGATCAATAGGTAGGTTACTCAATGATTTCCTTAATTTCTTTTCTTCAATATGTCCTGTGAGTGCCAAATTTTCCAAGCCCTCTTTTCTCACTATGTGCCCTAGACATTTCAATTGTCTCTTTCTGATTCTTAGCATAAGTATCCTTTTTGTTTCCATTTTCCTTAAATCTTCGTCGTTATTCACATGTTCAATGGATGGTATCATCAACATCCTTATGTAGAACCGCATTTCCGTTGCTTCAAGCCTCTTTTTCATCCGTGAGGAGATTGTCAGAATTCACTGCCGTAGAGGATAGCAGTTCATCTTTGTCGGAAAATCATCGCAATTCATTTTATCTACAAACTAGATATCGAAAAAAACATATGAAAAATATAAAATTATGTACAAAATATCTGTAGTTGAAAGCATAAAATTGCGTAGGAAATATTTAAAATTCGGAATTAAATAACCCATAAACTTGTCGATATACCACTAAACAAAATCTTATTGTTGACCATGTTCGTCAAGTCTATGAATATCGAATACAGGGCAGTACGCAATCTGTTCAATAAAACAACGTTAAAGATTAATACTCACAAGTCAGACACTCTACTGGATCTGACTATATCGCCAATACTACAAGCAGCTGTTCTGTAATTCTTCAGTCTTCGATATCATAGGTTGGCAGTGAATATTCGGGAAAAAAACATGGCTGCCTTTATACACGTCGCATTGAATATGTTGAGCTTTCTGATTGGTTAACCCTTCTATTGGTTAACTATAAAATGAGTCAGCTCATTTTGGCTAGCTCACTAGTACTAAGGTACCCAAAAATTATAACACTTATTATTTTGCTGAACTTTAGGAAATCATCTTTCGCTATTCCAATGCGCCTTCAGATTTCGGCGTCACTTTTTTTGTCCACTTAAAACATTTCTCAGATATTTGAATTTCCGTAGCGACTTGATTTTGGTGTTTCTAATTCATTGTTCGCATCGTGGGAGGTTCCTCTTGCTGATAACCACATGTTATATACCGTACTTATGAACACTAATGGGTATGGGTATGTCCCAATCCTCATAAATATGATCGACACTATTGTAAGTGGGGGTGTTGTCAAAGTAGTT